CCCCAGGATTAGCAAAAGGGTGACACCTGCAGCGTTTGGGCTAATCGGAGGGGAAAAAAAAAATCAGTTAAATTGCCTGTTCTTTGGGATTACGACTTCTTGTAATCCTCTTTTGCATTTCTAAGCCCCCGTTGGCTTCTTTTATGATTTCAATAACCCCCTTTTCTGCTGCTGCTTCGCCCCCCTTGGGCTGATGGTGCCCGCTCCTCGGCTCAGCAGGGGAGGGGGCGATGGGAGGAAGGTTAAAAACCCCACATTTTCTGCTCCAGTTTGTGGTGATGAGCTCTGTACCCTGTGCAACGTGAGACCGACTGCTCATTTCATACCATTGGTGATGTCTTCTCCCTGGCATCCAGCTGTAGGACTCATGGGAACGGGTCAAAGTGGTTGCTCCTCACAAAGCTCAAGCTCTGGACCCTTCTCCTTGAGCTCCAGACCCCTCACCAGTTCCGTTGACCTTCTCTGGACTTGCTCCAGCTCCTCGATGTCTTTCTTGTAGTGAGGGGACCAAAACTGGACACAGCACTGGAGCCATGAGCTGGGGTGAAGACTGGGGTGAACGCTGGGGTGCTGTAACCTGGGGTGGTTCATCTGGCTTTCAAGCTTCCCCTGGGAGCTGAAAACCACCTCGCAGCCCTTTGTGAATACTGTATTTAGTGTAAATAGTGCTGGTAGGGAGGAAGAAAGAGTTGCTGTCCCCACCCAAACCACCCTTCTTCTCCATCGTCCCTCCCCAGTGCCCACCACAAGCCTTGAATCATAGAATCATGGAATGGCTTGGGTTGGAAGGGATCTTCAACTAGTGAGGGGACCAAAACTGGACACAGCACTGGAGCCATGAGCTGGGGTGAAGACTGGGGTGAACGCTGGGGTGCTGTAACCTGGGGTGGTTCATCTGGCTTTCAAGCTTCCCCTGGGAGCTGAAAACCACCTTGCAGCCCTTTGTGAATACTGGATTTAGTGTCAATAGTGCTGGTAGGGAGGAAGAAAGAGTTGCTGTCCCCACCCAAACCACCCTTCTTCTCCATCGTCCCTCCCCAGTGCCCACCACAAGCCTTGAATCATAGAATCATGGAATGGCTTGGGTTGGAAGGGATCTTCAACACCATCCAGTCCCACCTTCCTGCCCTGGGCAGGGACACCTCCCACCAGCCCAGGTTGCTCCAAGCCCCCTCCAACCTGGCCTTGAACCCCTCCAGGGATGGGGCAGCCACAGCTTCTCTGGACAACCTGGACCAGGCTCTCACCATCCAATTTCCTCCTGAGATCTCACCTAAATCTCCCCTTTTTCACCTTTTTCAACCCTTCCCCCTCGTCCTATGGCTCCCCTCCCCTGATCAAGAGTCCCTCCCTACCTCTCCTGTAGACCCCTTTTAGATACTGGCTTTGGGTTGGGAGGGACCTTCAAAGATCATCTCGTTGAAGTCTGTTTCTTCTCCGTTTCTTCTCCTTCAGGCTGGAATGGGTGGAAATCATCGAGCCTCGAACGCGGGAGCGCATGTACGCCAACCTCATCACGGGGGAGTGCGTGTGGGACCCTCCCGCCGGGGTGCGGATCAAGCGCACCAATGAGAACCAGTGGTGGGAGCTCTTCGACCCCAACACCTCCCGCTTCTACTACTACAATGCCACCACCCAGAGGACGGTGTGGCACCGGCCCCAGAACTGCGACATCATCCCCTTGGCCAAGCTGCAGACCCTGAAGCAGAACACGGAGTCGCCGAGGGCTTCCACCGAAAACAGCCCCGGGAGGAGCAGCAATGTCAGCAGAGAGGGCAGCACCAGTTCCTCCCTGGAGCAGGAGCTGGAAGGCAACGAGAAGGTGCAGGAGCAGAGGTCCAGCCGCCAGTCCACCCAGTACGCCGTCGTGAAAGAGGAAACGGAAAGGTAAAAGGAAGGGATGTGGGTTGGTGGAACAAAACGTGCTGGTTGAGGTGCCCTGATGGTCCCCCAGAGTAGAGTCCTTGTCCCACAGCTCGTGATTTCTGTTGTTTAAAGGTATTTTATGGATGGCTCCTCTAATTAGATTCCTCATTGGTTGTGTCTTAGAGAACTGGTTTGCTCCTCCGTAAAACCATGATGAGAAGAAGAGATAAAAGCATCTATGAAAGGTGCTCCTGCCCTGGGCAGGGACACCTCCCACCAGCCCAGGTTGCTCCAAGCCCCATCCAACCTTGGCCTTGAACCCCTCCAGGGATGGGGCAGCCACAGCTTCTCTGGGCAACCTGGGCCAGGGTCTCACCACCCTCACACCAAAGAAGTTCTTCCCAAAATCTCACCTAAATCTCCCCTTTTTCACCTTAAAATCCCTCCCCCTTGTCCTATGGCTCCCCTCCCTGATCAAGAGTCCCTCCCCACCTCTCCTGGGGCCCCTTGAGGGACTGGAAGAGGCTCTGAGGTCTCCCTGGAGCCTTCTCTTCTCCAGGCTGAACCCCCCAATTCTCTCAGCCCCCCCTCCCAGCAGAGGGGCTCCAGCCCTCCGAGCATCTCCAGGGCCTCCTCTGGCCCCATCCAACAGCTCCATGTCCTTTTGATGTTGGTGGCCCCAGAGCTGGAGGTAGCACTGGGGTGGGGGTTGTCCCCAGAGCGGAGCAGAGGGACAGAATCCCCCCTTTCCCTCACCCTACTGGCCACGCTGCTGGGGATGCAGCCCAGGATGGTGGTGGTGAAGCAGGAGGTTGTTCCTGAAGTAGCCTGAAGGGTTAACGAGGATGGAGTGGATGGGTTTTAATCTCCATGGGCTTTGCCACGGGTCCCTTCCCCCTGACCCTTGCACGCTGGACCGTAGAAGCCGGTGTGGACACCGCAGGTCAATAATCCTTCACGTCCTCAACCCCCACGTTCTTTCTCCTTTCCCAGTGCTGGAAAAAATGGAGGTGTATTATGGGATGGAGAGCTGCTGGGTAGGGTGGGAGGAGGGTTCTCGAATAGAAAGGCTTAACCCCTGGAAACCTTCTGCTCATGGAGAAGAGCAAACCAGCCCTGGGGTGGATTTACTGCTGGGCTGCTGGAGACTTCTGTCCTTTCAGACTTGGTATTTCATAGCCTTGGCCTTGCCGGGGGCTGGAAGCAGGTTTCCTAGTTTTAAAAATAAAAGAAAAAAAAAAAAAAAAATAAAAAACCCAACCCCAGATGCCACTAGAGGGAGCAGAGATTCCTGCTCAGTGGACAGTTTCCACCTGCATTCCTGGAGGTGACACGAATGGTCCTGTCCCTTCAGCTCAGCCCAACGTCCCGTTCCGGTGGAAACACACTAAAAATCACTTCACCCTCATGTCCCGGCTGGAAAAAATCACCTTCTCTCCTTGACCTTCCCTTCTGAGCATGGCTGGAAAGCCTGGAGAGCTTTGCTGAGACCTCAAGGTCAACATGACCCGTTAAGGGCGAGATTTCGGAAGGTGGAGATAACCCTCGGGGGGGGGTGAGGATGCTGCTGTCAAGCAGGTTTCCTAGTTTTAAAAATAAAAGAAAAAAAAAAAAAAAAATAAAAAACCCAACCCCAGATGCCACTAGAGGGAGCAGAGATTCCTGCTCAGTGGACAGTTTCCACCTGCATTCCTGGAGGTGACACGAATGGTCCTGTCCCTTCAGCTCAGCCCAACGTCCCGTTCCGGTGGAAACACACTAAAAATCACTTCACCCTCATGTCCCGGCTGGAAAAAATCACCTTCTCTCCTTGACCTTCCCTTCTGAGCATGGCTGGAAAGCCTGGAGAGCTTTGCTGAGACCTCAAGGTCAACACGACCCGTTAAGGGCGAGATTTCGGAAGGCGGAGGTAGCCCCCGGGGAGGGGGTGAGGATGCTACTGAGTGGTCTCTGGCTGTTGGGAGGGAGGTTTGGTGGCAAAAACCCACCCTTATTCCCACCAGGAATGGGATGGGTCATTGCTGGAACCTCCTCAAGAGAAGAGGAGATGCTGTGGGTGGAAAGGGGAGATGTGGTTGAACCTGGGAGGTGGGACACCTCCAGCAGGGGTGGGAAACTGCTGAAGATACAGCGTAGCGCTGGCAAACGGTTAATCATCTAGTCCGACCCCCCCGCAGTCAGCAGGGACACCCCCAACTAGACCAGGTTGCCCAGGGCCTCGTCGAGCCTCTCCTTGAATATCTCCAGGGAAGGGGCCTCAACCACCTCCCTGGGCAACCTGTTCCAGTGCTCCACCACCCTCACAGTGAAGAACCCTCTCCTCATCTCCAGTCTAAATCTGTTCCCCTCCAGCTTGAAGCCATTGCCCCTCGTCCTGTCACTGCAGGCCTTTCTAAACAGGTTCTCCCCAGCCTTCCTGTAGCCCCCTCAGGTACTGGAAGGCCGCTATTAGGTCTCCCCGGAGCCTCCTCTTCTCCAGGCTGAACAACCCCAGCTCCCTCAGCCTGTCCTCGGAGCAGAGGTGCTCCATCCCCCTGATCATCCTTGTGGCCCTCCTCTGGACCCTCTCCATCAGGTCCATGTCCTTCTTATATTGAGGGCTCCAGACCTGCACACAACACTCCAGGTGAGGTCTCACCAGAGCAGAGTAAAGTGGCAGAATCCCGTCTCTGGACCTGCTGGCAACACTTCTTTTGATGCAGCCCAGGATGGGATTGGCCTTCTGGGCTGCAGCTGCCCACTGCCTGCTCATGTCCAGCTTCTCCTCCACCAGCACCCCCAAGTCCCTTTCCTCAGGGCTGCTTTCCAATCCCTCACCCCCCAGTTTGTATTGGTGGCCAGGATTGTTCCGGCCCAGGTGCAGAACCTTGCATTTGCTCTTGTTGAACCTCATGAGGTTCACCTGGGCCCACCTCTCCAGCCTGTCCAGGTCCTTTTGGATGACATCCCGTCCCTCTGGTACGGGAGGGCTCGCTTTCCCCGATCTGCAGGGAAGCTGCCAGGGAGGCAGAGATTTCATCTCCAGAAGAGGCTGATGCTCTTGGACCTGGCACAGATAAGGCGAAATCGAGCTCTGCAAATTAAAAATTGATTTTTGATGGGGGCGATCAGCAAAGGGCAGAGCCGTCTGTGCCTCCAGCTTCTCAGTGTTCAGGGTGTCTCTGCTTTTTAGCCTTGGCTTCTGAGCACTAACAACTTCCAGGCACGAGCTGAAAAATATACGTATTTCTATAGAATATGCTTGTTCTGGACCTGCCCGAGCCTTAAAATTTAGGAGAGCTGCTTCGGGCAAGGAGCGTTACGTTACGGACGGACCAGGCATTTCTTCTGGGGCTTAAAAGATCTGAATACATGGAAATTTCTTCAGAGGGAGATAGTGAACACCATCCCTTTTTATCCCTGAGGCATGAACAGGAGGCCACTCGGTGGAGGTGGGACAGTCGCTGGCTCTCAGGGACCCTGTGACAAAGCTTTTTTTCATTTTACCCTCATTTTTTGCGTGTAAAAATTAAAAGTGGGCACCCCAGGTGAGCAGAGGGGCGATAGCGAGCCAGATCTTCAACTTAGGTGGTCTTCCAAGACATCTTCAGCCCCGCTTTGGGTGACATCTCTGTTGCTGTGGAGCTGCCTGCCCACCGAAGCGGTGGCTTTGACCTGGTGGGTGGTCAACTGCTGGCCATGGGAAAGGTCAAACTGCTTCCAGGGATCATGGAATCATCGAATAGTTTGGGTTGGAAGGGACCTTCAAAGCCCATCTGTGGCCCTGCCACGGGCTGGGACATCTTCAACTAGACCAGGTTGCTCAGAGCCCTGTCCAACCTGACCTGGAATGTTTCCAGGGATGGGGTAATCCAGAGGGGGTGGGATGACCTTCAAGGGCTGATTTTGGCAAGGCCAGACCTGCTGGACGCTGCTGGAGCACTTGTGGGGCTCCAAGATCTTGGAGATCCCTCCTGAGACAACAGATATCTCAGCACTCAGGGCTGCATCCGAGCTTTGCTGTCCATGGGTGGCCACAGAGGGACTCTGAGATGGGGTTAAGATGTGCAGTATCAAGGGGGAGCAATTATTTGGGGTCACCATAATTCCAACCAAGGCTGGAAGGAAGCTCTGGAGGTCATCTGGTGGGACCTCATTCTCCAAGTTTCATAACATTAAGTCTTAGAGTCATTTCAGCAAGGTTTCTGCCTAAGAGTTTCCCTTCTGAACTTCTCTGGTCTTAAAAGGGAGGTCAGGAGAAGTGGGCAAGTCTCGAGCAACTGATCTCATCAGAATTTGCCCTCTGAGGTGCCCCACACCCTGTGGTGATGGGACAATTTAGGAACTGGAGCATCTGGTTTGGTAGGAGATGGTGGAAGCTGCTCCCAATCCATTCCCCATGTCCTCAATGGAGGAGTGGACCATGTTGGGGCTGGTCCCATCACCCGTGTGTGGGTCAGGGATGCATCCATAAGGAACATGCTGTTCCTTATGTGCTTGGATCTCACCAGGGTTGCCCTCACGCTGCTGTCGTGAGGTGGGATTTGCTGGATCCATCTCCAGAGACCGTGTTGGTTCAACTCTGCTCATCTTCGGGATCTCAGTAGCAGGTTTCTCTTGATGGTCAGCAAAGGTAGAGCTTTTCCCAGCAGGGAATTCCTTCTTTTTGTTGTCTTCTGCCCTAGACTTTGCCTTGCTTGTCTGAAAAATGACAACTTTTCCACGAAGCGTAAGGAGCCAGCTGTGAAATCTGCCAGCAGGCTGCAGCCACCACGTCGGCTGGGTTTTCTCTCAGGTCACTGGGTTTCTCTACGCTGTCTGAAAGTGTCGGTGGTTATTGGTCCGTGCAGAGTCTTCCTGGTGCTGGAAATCCTTGGAGAAG